CTTTAACACGACTCTTAAAAAGTCTCGGATCTCCGACGTGACCGTCCCGACGTGAATAAGAAATGAGGTTTTCTTATCCGCTTACGGTTGTTTATAAAACGGAAAAAAAACATTGCAATCCAATTTATTTGAAGATCCGGAGGCTTATAATAAAATTTTTTAGCAACTCTCTTTCTCTCTTTAAGAAATAACACAGGATTGACATACCGCAATCGTTAAATCGTTATAGAATCTTCCCGACAATCCAGATAAGTTCGTTAAGAACGCAGAGGCAGATAATAAAATAGGTTTCGCGATAATTATCCCCAATAGCGAGCGTTCGTTAGCCAACTATAGCAATTAATACGCCTCACATGCATATTCATCGTTCAATCTATTCTGAAAGATTTTCACATCTTCGATAATTCACAATTAAGCATTAATCTCAAAATGATCCGAAGACAGAGAATTATTCTTTTCAACAGACACTGCGATTTCTCTGCAAAAACGATGACAGTGATGACGGCGACCAAGCTATTAATTTTTCTTTCAGAATTTACTTCGCTTCGAGCAATGATTATCTCGCATAATCTTTGACGGCAGTCAACGAATCGAATCGATTTCCGGTTGAATGATAGGCGAGGCCCTCGTTCAAGTAGGCTAATTGCGACTAGTCGCGCGTAAGATGTTGCCATTGAATTTAACATCGTCTTTACAGACACTTTTATGCCTCGCGCGCGCACAACTTTTATTGCGTCTTTTACCAGCATCTGCAAATCATTATAAGTGCACGCTATAGACTAGAATAATTTCTGCGTCATATACCGAAGATCGACGATGAGGCGAATACTGAAGTTAAACTAAAGAGCCATCATTTACTTCGGAGAACATAGTCGAGCGTACATTAGTGGTTTCCAACGATGTACACTCTATAAGCTTAATAGCGATGTTAAGTGATTTATTGTCAATTGTCCAAGCTTCTTGTTATCCTGTTCACGAGTTCTCGCACGGCAACGCTAGCCGCAAACGATATTAGTGTTTACATTAAGGTGTAAAAACGTGTAAGAACAATGGAATTTTAATTATATCGAGATATTTAAAATATCGACCAGTTCCAATAAAAATAAATTCTCGCCAAGAAACAAATTTGACTTTAAATGTAATATTGAATTCAAAAATTCAGTCATTATAATCGAGAAGTGTAAGGTTTGAAAATAAAATTTCTACATGAATTCTGCATAAAATATTTGAAAAAAAATCAAGGTCGGCTTTGAGAAAAATCCGCTATAAAGCACGCGCCGCTCGCTGCATATCGAATGGGATCGGCACGCGTGGACGTCTTTCCATAAAAGTGCCGAAGATCATCTCTAAAAATATAATGACTGACGCCTTTTAAGCGCGAGTCGGACGCGCTTCAATCTGGATCGCGCGACTTCACGCTCGAGCGATATACACGCAACAGGTTACGCTATATGGATAACGCTATGTGTGTGTGTGTATGTGTGTGTGTGTGTGTATGTGTATATCGTTGCGCGAGACGACGACCTAATCTCGATGCGAACCGACGTTCTGCGATCCTGATCTGGCAGCTGCTGCAGCGCGAAAGAATTGCCACGAGCTTTGTTCTCCCGCGGGAACAGTGCGCCTTTTGTCGTGCCTCAATACTCCCCCGTCTGTATATAGTGCGTGCTCCTCTTTCTCACTTTTGTGCACGCTACCTGTGTAAAATACGCACCGATAGAAAAAATCTGCCGACTACCTAAAAAATAAAATATTTCGACGGTGTACACTTTAATATATAACAACTAACTTATCATGTATGTTATACACATTGATGATTTTTTTTGCGTTAATAGAAATAAAATACCTTTCCGCTGGCCACTGTAAATTAACAAGCATTCACAGTGACGTGACATAACACGTAAGAACGTTTCATTAAATAAGTCGTGTTACAATTAGGCGTCAGGTCATTTGGAAAGAGGTAGCGAGTAGTCTCGCCCTTCTGAAGCGTGAAATATTGCTGTCAGAGTGCAACAATCTTCGGGGCCGAGCGCGCCGCGCCGTCAGCAATTAACCGGTAATCTGATATCGATACCAGTATACTCGCACGTCGAGCCGAGCCGGGACGAGTTGCGATGCACCGGAGGATATGCTGGCCGTATCGTTACTTAAAAGCGCAGCGTGATGTGCACCCCCGATGCGCTTAATCATGGACCTTTTTTCGATCCTCGCTGAAATACAGATCTGTTTTTTTCAATTGCACTTTTTATTACATTTTTCCCATTTTAAATAAAATCGATGTTTTAAAAGAGAGAAAGATAGAAAAAACGGAGAAATTAATTAAGAAATTAATTGTAAAAAATATAAAAGAGAGAGAGAGAGGAAAAAAAAACAAATTTGGGTCTCTCTCTGCCTTTCAATCTTTCTCTCTCTCTCTCCCTTCTTCTTGAAAATGAGAGCAATCATGTATGTTTTGTTGGAGGTGATTTTTTATCTTGTGACACTCTTTTCATCTCTTTTATTTCGCGCATATCTTATTCAGAATCAATTTGCTCGCTTATTATTATTATTATTATATATCGTGACCCTAATTCTTATATTAAAGTATTATATTTATTATCTGTTATATCGACGCTATAAAATATTAAAATCTTAATAAATGTAAGCTTTGTAGCGCGAATTCGGTCCGCGCGTTGATGCATCCAATTGAATTGGCTATGGGAGACCCACCGGAGAATAATGCAAATACCGCTAAGCCTGAAAGAAAGAGAGAGAAATCTCGCTCGTGTATCCCGCGGATCGGAGAAAGATTCCAGATTCTAGCCGGGTTCTAGATTCCGCGGTGACGCGCCGCGCATAGACATTCGCGCCTTTCCAAGGAGTCGAGTGCCGCTCCAAGTCGACCCTCCCCGTCTCGCTCGTTCCGGAGAATATCACGATCCCCGTACGTGGGTGAGAGAGAGAAAGGAAGAGAGAGAGTGAGTGAGAGATCTCCGGATCTCCGCGGCACGGTGGCGCCCGTAGGGCGCCGTCGCGCGCTTGCCCGCTAACAGAACGACGCCAGGTCCGTATACTCGACGGGCTGCATACACATAAACTCCCTAAACAATAACAGAGATTTACATGGAAATCACGTTTTAAAGCCAGACCCCGATCTCTTAGAAAGATAAGCTTTTAGACAAATGACCTTCAGACTTTTTGGAAAAATGATAGTTTCAAACGTGATAGTGTACTACGACTTTCGGAGATATGAGCAAAAATGTCCCAAACAGCACATGTCCCTAAAAGATGACTAATAAAAGACAACTTAAAGACATTTTATTGTTTTTTAGACATCTTTAAGACGTCTTTTGGCTTTTCTGTGTGTCGTTTCACCTTGTTATATTGTATTATTTATATTTGTTAATATAAAATATGTGACTTGATAGAAAAATAATTTATATAAAAGCGATTCCTAATTATATTTTTTTATTTCTTTTTAATTTTATTCACTATGTTATGAAATTTCGCTCCCTTATAATGCTAGATCTTATCTTGGGATAATTACAGAACGCTATTGCCCGAAGATAACTCCATTCAATGATGGAAGAAAATGTGCGCGCGCTGCCATTCATTAACATCATTCATTATGATAAAGTCCAAAGATTCATTAACTTTATATATTATTAAAGAAAATTGATTCGCATCAACGATCACGGATCATTTGACAATTAGATTTTATCGTAATAAACATATTATCCGTCATTATACCTCTCAATTTTCCTTATCATATTGTCATGAGATCTCTCAGATAAAAACTCAATTTTTCCCTCGTTTCTTAGTACAGACCTGGGAGTCCTCGTCTCACAGAATCGTCGCCACCTCGCTCACTCCACGTAGCTGGATCGACTCTCCTCTTCGCCGAGCCGAAGATGCACGAGACCACGTCCCACCGTCGCAACAATCCGTCCCCACCAACCGATTGAGGACGGAGATGGCCGAGGCCGGGGTAGCCTGCGCCTTGCGACTCGACGCGGAACGCTTTACGTCACAGTGAAGTATGTGCTCCCGAGTGTAGAAAATGGCTGGGCACTCCGCTTCCAGGGATCGGCACGGATGTAAATATGGCTTATGGCTCGGCTTGGGAGTGTTCGCCGCGAGATGCCTCAGCGGTGAGTACAGCCGTCTGTGCGTGATGTTATCGCGATGTAACACGTACGCAACGTACGTACACACTATTTTGTGTGCGTCGAGTGCGCGCTTATGTGTGTATGATACTCCCGACGGCAAGATGCGGGGAACGCGTCCCGTCGCTGCCGGGCCGTCGGCATCGATCGGATGCGGACTACTTGCGAGAAACGCGATCATGCCGCGGTCGTTTGCCTTCTGCTTCGCAGATGTGTGAACCCGACGTCTGTGATCTCCTCCGTCTCGTTTCCATCCCTCGTCGAAAGACGAGCGTTCGTTTCTCTTTCTGTTTTGCCCGAACGGTCGACAAGCACGATGTGCTCGAGCGATCGACGCGCGGATGTGAAAGATCATTATTACTCGGCGCGCCTCTCTCGATCTTATCCCGCTTTTCGCTTACGATTTTCGAGGAAGCGCTCTTGTTCGAGGAGCGTCGTCAGCTCGACGGCAACGAACGACGATTCCTCCGGGTAAGATGACTTTTGTCGCTCTCAGTCCGATGTCTTGTTTTTCTCGATTTCATTTCACAGAGAGATGCTTCCTCTCTTCCGAGTTTTTCCTTCCGCAGCAGAGACGTTCCCTCGCAATCGATAAGTTTTCACCAAAGGAATTCCTGAGATGGCATGCGGTCGTTTTTTTTTTACGCCTGTGTAGGGACGAGAACGCGGGAGAGACGAAGAGAAACAGAGAGACAGACAGAGATGAAATTAACTGCTCCGGAGTTAGACTGAAATACCAGCAGTGCCGAGAATCGATGCCATTCTCGCGCCACCGCCACGACCTTTTTCCATTTTTCTCTTCTTTTCTTTCCCTTTTCTTTACAAATGAGATTTCTCTCTCTCTCTCTCTCGCATCCTTCGGTCATGCTTCAACCTCGAGCGTTTACACAAGATACTGGACCAGCCGATCGCTGTGCGCGATCGATTTGATATCAGCCAAGTGACACCAGACTTTAACCCTTTGAAATTGCAGTAATTACGATGTATAATCGTCGTATTTTTAATATCTTCTTTTTTTCAATCCGCACAGTCCGATTGCACTCGACCAACGTTTGCTAAAACTGAATAATGACAATGATAAGAAAGTTGAATCATTCACTTTAGTGATGATTTTAAAATAATATATATATATATATATGATGATAAAAAATTTATATAAATTTATATGAAAACTATTGCATACTTTTTATTGAATAATTTTTGTAAGAGATAATGATTCCGAAAATGTGTAATGTGTCCTTTCTAAAGTAATTGATTCGCTAATAGTGCGCCTGTTCGATTCGTATGTCACATTGACGTCAAACCATATCTTCATATTCAGTAATCGAAACTTGCGATTAAACTATCGCTTTTATACGCTAAATATGTGCGAAACGAAATACAGGAATCTGTCTGTCCGTAGGAAATAGAGATTGTTTACCTTGCTCCGGCAGGGCGCATAAGACTCGAAATACATCAAAGAGTTATAAACGTCGACGTCGTTTTAGCGTGTCTCCCTCTCGCCGAATACACGCCGAACGTAATTTCGTACTCCCGTTGAAAACGTGGAGAGGAACCTGATCCTTTTTCCCCTCATCTCACTTGTGCACTCTCTCTCTCACTCTTCCCTTTTCTTTTCTTCTTTTTTCTTCTTCGTCGCATATGACGTGTGTTTTTTTTCACGAGGCTCGCAAGGACATCGTGCCTATACATTGTTTAAAATGAATAAAATTAATAAAGACGGTCTTTCTTAATGAAATATGTATGTGTTCCGTATCCAGGAACATAAAAATAAGCTATTTTATGGCGTATTTTATGAAAATGCATTAAACTTAATGAATAATGCTGTTTCCGGCACTATTATCGGCTGTTATCGAGACTTAATGTCTCGTGATTTAAGAGGATTCTGTCGAAATAAAAAAAAAATGCACACGCTATCTGAATAACAAAGTAGGTCTCGGTGCAAAGGATGATCGATAATTACGATAAATTAAATCTGAAATGAAAAAAAGATTCGATATGGGTCCAAGTTGTAGACACGCGAAAACGATCGTTATTTTTATCCGTGACAACGAAAAGGCGACAAACTAGCATCTATGTAAGCCCATAAACATTAATTAAAACTAACTGAGATTTAATGGATTCCCCCTAGTTCCTTCTTAGAAAGAAGCAAGTGATCGTTCAAACTTGAATCTACTTTAATTGGTAATTTAATGTAGGAGAAGAATCGTTGTGTATGATGCTGAAAATTGTGCTTAAAATTATAACCCGCTTCAGTTTTTCATTCAATTTCGTCGCGTCGCGAACGTTGGACATTGGAATTCGCGCTATTTCCTCTCGATCGGCGGGGGATTCCCCGCTCGAAATCACGGCGAGTGATTACGGAATATAGGATTACGCACGCGGCCGATTGTTCTTCCGCGAAAATGACGATCCCGTATCACGGTTACGCGAGTCCATTTGTGCCAGTTTGCGCCGCCTTTCCCGACAATATTATTTGCAGCCCGCGGGTATTAAGTTTCCTATGCACATTCGCGTGCAGCGCGACTGCCATTCTAGCGCGATAGCGTCTGGCCTCCGAAACGTTGCTTCTCAGCATCGATTAAAAGTCGATGACATTATTCGATTCAGCGATCCTGAAATAAGAATTAGGTCGCGATAAAGTATGCAAAAATAAGTATGATAAAATTTCTAAAACTATGTATGACAAAAAAATCTTTTCTTCAACTACTTTTATAACGACACAAATTATTTTATCGATGAGAATTTAACAGTTATTGTTTAACACAAACGAAAATGTATGATCCCTAAAATCACGCATCTTCTATTGACTGGTAAATATTAGTAATACGATAAAGCGAGAGAAAAAGATAATAGAGAGCGATAGTTTTCACACCCGACTCGCGTATCAACATCCTGTTGTACAAATCGAAATTAACTTTAAATTTTAAATATTTACACAAGTGTATTTTTCTATTAATTTGAACGACGCGTTTTACCAAGGCAATCTTATGAATTATCTTATCGATAAATTACTTTATAATGCGCCTATCTTTACCAACATTCTGTTATAATTTTGTTTCATTCAAGATATAACGCATTATATCCATCGTTGCCCATCACTTTTGATATCGTATCATAGATTAGCGGCTTCGAGATCGCGATATTGTTGATTAAAAAAAAAAAAAAAGAATCAGGATCTTGAAATAGCTGTACGTTGCATTTGTAGAATGAAATCGCCGGCGAACTTTGGGATTCGGCGACTAATAGACGTACGGAATGGGCTATCGCTGATACTGCTCTTTGCCACGCTGATAAGGTCCGCGACTAGCTGGCACGTTGCCTCGCGCGATTCATTGAAACCTTCGTGCGATTACAGGCACCGATTGCGTCGCGAAAGCCGCACGAAAGCAGATATGCGCGTTACGCCTCCCGTCCGACCCGCGCGTTCGTATATACGCACATTCTCGCGTGTTCGTGACAGTTTTCTAAACAGTTCATTACGGCTTTCCTCGCCAGTGACGGACGTACTGATAAGCGGACTCTAAGCGCTCGTTCGGAGATCCTACTGTTGAAGAGCTTCTCTCTCCTCATGGTCCGGAGAAATTTTATAAAAACATATAAAAGAGGATATATATATGTTCTTCCGTGGGAGGCGACGACGGTCGTTCGCCTACATGACACATCTCACGACTTGTCAAACAACCTCTCGAATCCGTTCAACTCCGCGCGCCTAGTATATCCCTCTCTAGCCATTCCTCCATCTCATATCAATTATTAAGTTATTTATCGCATCTCACGCAACACGTTGTTTACCTAATTTTCTATGCCGCATCTTCCATACTCTCTTTCTCGTGACTTGCTTCTAAATAAATTTGAATGTCAGAAGAATCACATGCGCGATCCAAAAGTAACATTTAAATGACTAGATGTGATTAATTTTAGAGCGTTGCACATTTCTTGATCTATATATATACTATTTTGATTCATTCGGATCGACAACTAATAATATCACGTTATGTTCTCCTTTTTGCAGTGCTGGGCATTATTTGTTACTGCGATGGACACTGTCCGGACGGCAGGCAAAACGGGACCTGCGAGTTACGAGCCGGAGGGCAATGTTTCAGTGCCGTGGAGGAGGTGTGGGAGTCCGAATTGGGAGAATACGTGCCCGAGTGGTCGTTTGGTTGCTTGCCACCCGCGGAGGGCGGCTTTATGCAATGCAAAGGGAATCAAGTTCCTCACTTACGAGAGAAGAGTATAACGTGCTGTAACAACACGGATCTATGTAACAAGGATCAGTTTCCCGAAATAGCCTACAAGCCGCGTCCTACCGCGGGTACCAATTCGATAGATATTACAACAGGAGCGCCGATTATTATCCTAGCAGTGGTCCTGTCGGCAATGCTGATGATCGCCATAATAGCGATAGGAATCATGTATCACAGATGTTGGAAGAAGGAGTTAGATCCGTGCCTAGTGCCGTCACAAGGAACCCTCAAGGATTTTATAGATCAAAGCAGCGGATCGGGATCGGGATTGCCACTCTTGGTACAACAGACTATCGCGAAACAATTAGCCATGTCGCAGTGCGTGGGAAAAGGTCGTTACGGCGAGGTATGGCTCGCCAGATGGCGAGGCGGCGAAAAAGTAGCGGTGAAGGTTTTCTTCACTTTAGAGGAAGCATCTTGGTTCAGAGAAACGGAAATTTATCAAACCGTGCTGTTGAGACACGATAACATCTTGGGTTTTATCGCCGCCGATATCAAGGGAACTGGCTCTTGGACTCAAATGTTGTTGATTACGGATTATCACGAAAGAGGTTCATTACACGATTACTTACAAGTAACCGTGCTGGATCATCATGCTCTATTAGCGATCTGTTCATCAATCGCCTCTGGTATCGCACACTTGCATACCGAGATCTTCGGTACACAAGGAAAACCCGCGATAGCTCACAGAGATATTAAGAGCAGAAACATTTTAGTTAAAAGGAATGGAGAATGTGCCATAGCTGACTTTGGATTGGCTGTTCGCTACATCAGGTACGCTTTACGCTAAAGCACTCTTTATCTTTAATATGATTTTTAAACGAGACAAATTGCTACAGTGAGATATTTATTTTTGTATAGCGAGAGCGGAGCGATTGACATTGCGCCAAATACTCGAGTGGGTACGCGACGTTACATGGCACCGGAGGTGTTGGACGAAACTCTCAATACATCTTCCTTCGATGCATTCAAAATGGCAGACATGTATTCTGTCGGTCTCGTATTTTGGGAAGCATGCAGAAGGTGTGTCACGGGTGGTAAAAATTCAACCGTCGAGCCTTACGCCTTGCCTTATCACGATGTCGTACCAAGCGATCCAGACTTTGAGGATATGCGCTTGGTAGTCTGCGTGAAACGATTACGTCCAATTATCCCGACAAAATGGGATAACGATCCGGTAAGAGAGAGACACATTTTTCCGTGACTTTTCAATTTAATCCCGTCGATTTTATGAATCGAATAACATTGTTATCTTCTTTACAGATTCTATATGCAATGAGCAAAATAATGTCGGAATGCTGGCACGCGAATCCACCAGTTCGCTTAACTGCTCTTCGCGTTAAAAAGACACTAGTGTCGAAAGTACACCATAATCACACTATCAAATACGTATAGCATTTGACGCGATTACAAAAAACTAACTCGTCTAGTTAAATAACTTTCTACCCCTGTAAATATAATATACCTTGTAATATATCCTTTAGTGTACATAGAACTGTTGATAGACTGCAGCCTTGAGACTGATGATTAAAGTTTATAAATATGCAAAAGAAAGAAAGAGAATATGAATGAATGTGTACATAAAGAAGTGAATGACTAATCGTAAAAAATGAATGATATTATTATGTATATAATTTGTATATAGATATATCCATATAGAGTGTCTGTCTCCAAATCCACGCATTACATTTTATCGGAGAAGAAACATCATCTTTGCTGTGTGAAAATATTTTTAAAGAAATCGAAGATAAAAGTAAATGCGGGGAACTTGGGAGCTCTCTTGTGTATGTATAATTTCCTTTTATATTTATAGAAAACGCGTCATAAAATCGCGAAAGTATGATTTGGACACGCTTTCCCATGTTAAAACTTGTTAAATATGTTATTGATGTACTACTTATTGCCTACTATTTACTAAATAGTATTTAAAATGTGTGTATCTACTATTTATTAAATAGTAATTAGAAAGCATATTGTATAAAAAAGGAATATATTATACTGTTTTTGGGCTGGCAAAGCCACACAAAACGAATTCAGCATGTAAATGTATCAGATACATCTCATATGAAAGATATAAATTCATCTTTATGTAAAATGTTTCATCATTGCATCGAATTATTTTGTTTGGACGTAAGAAATATGTTTAACGTGCCTAAAGGGAACTTTTAAAAGTTTCTACTCCTGCGATCTATATCATATGCTGTTTTCTCTTCTTTTAAGTACCTCACATAGAATATATTTATTATCGAAGATTATCTTTGATGTAAACGCGCACATAATAAATTTGCGTAAAATAAAAAAAAGTTCCCACATTGACGATTGTTAGAGTATCAAATGCGCAAGTTTGTATTATTATCTGTACAATATGTAATTTATATTTCTAACTTGTACACAAAAAAATGGAGAACACACACATATTAATCTATTTTTAAAAACTAACTTTGGTTGATTATCGATTACTCCGAATTTTCGTTATGCTGCCGATGTACTCTTCGAATTTATATGTTTTTGTATAGAGAAAGTAATTGGAGAAAGGGAAATTGTGAAAACAGATAACAATTGTATAGTGCAATAACAATGTATAATGTAGGAAATGTTATTTTAGAAGATGTATTTATTTTTGTGCATATCCCTTTAAATTTATAACACATTTGCGGATGAAAATCGAGAAAACCAAGCAGAATGTTTTCGATCTTAATTTAAAAAATTATTTAAAAAAAAAAATTTTCCTCAAATTTCGTTAAACTCGACATATTTTTTACGACTTCTGCACGTGTAATATGCGATAAATATTAAATGTTTTTCCTTTAGACGTTTTTTTAATTTGTAATTAAAACAAGAAAAAAAAAGATTAGATAGACAATAGTTAGTTGACTGAAAATAATTAAATTTATTTTTTCGGCAAGTATTTAATGGCGTCATCTTTTTCCTGAAGATATCTTTTCTTTATTTGTTGAAAAATCTGTAGCGCTTATATATTTTTCTATTAGATCGAATAATATATAATTCAACTGCCATGTTTAAAATTGAAAGTATAATAATATTTTAGATACGTTATATATATATTTGAGATATAGATAAGGAAGGTTCTTTTATTTCTACTTACTAGTCATTTCTAGTTATGTGTCAAATTCGTGACTTTGATGATAACGAGTTTATTTTACTCGCACTTTTTACAATTAAATTATTTGCTTTCTTCCCAACATTTGAATACACAACAATATGCGTGATGTATAATACATCCATATACTATACTTATACAAGATTCACACTGTATCGAATATTCGAGATCCGATACTCGATATCCAATAGAAGTTTATTTTTTAGGGACATAAATGTCGTCACAATTATGGAGGATTCATAATATAAATCTTCCATTAGGTAATGTTATAATTGTCATACTATCAAAAAGAGAGTTTCTAGAGTTTCACGAATTTCATGTAATAGAAGCCAAGCACACAAAGCTCGTCATACAAATTAAATAGCGTCTTTATTGATCGATTGAGAAGCCTCTTTATTATATCTATCGTCTATGGCCAGCGGTTAGAATTAGGTTGGCAGCAGTAGGTCAGCAGCAGTTCTCACAGGAAACGTCTCGAGTTGACGTGAACGTTTCTTCGCGTCGCTGCACATTTCCGTTTCGCCATCTTTTACCTCGGGAGCGTGTGGATCGCGTCGTATCGCGTGTGTATCGCGCAGTTTTAGCAGTTTTACAGACTACTGACTTGGTGAGTACATCAATCTATCCTCGCGTCGCCGTGCTAATTATTATCGGAAGCTTAATCGCGTCGCGCACAGATAGTCGCGGAAGCACGAACAAATAACTCGCGATACGCTATCTCGAACGAGCATCCCATTCGGTTCTATCCCGGCTGCCGTCTAGCCGGTGCGATCTCGTTCGAGGTATAAAGATCATTTTCGTGACGTCGTCATATAAACTTTCGACGGAATAATACGGGCTCTTCTCTTATTTTCCAAGCGGCTTTGTCGATTAAAAATGCGCGATTACACCAGTGCAATCTCGCCGAGTTTGTTTTTGATGCGGTTTTTTTTTTTTTTTTTCGTTTTCGTTTCTTATAGCAATTGCCGTTGTTGCCGTTTCTCGCGAATATACACGTGGAGATTTTTTTCTCACGATTCTGAATCATCGAAATCTGAACTCGACGAGATTATGCCGGGTGTGCGTTCGTCGTATCGCGCGACGAGATGAAACTTATATCGATGGGCGAAATGACGCTTCTACGAATGCATTCCCCGTCTTCGTCGCACTCGTGCGCAGTTGTACGATCTCCGTGCGGTAATTTTCCACGCTGACTTGTCTCTCTCGCGACTCTACGTATTTGAAACGATCAATGTATTGGACAATCCTTGAATCTCGACGATAATCATATAAAATTTTATTATAGCCACTATTACGTTAATATATATTTTTTTGTCATTCTGACGTCTGTTGTGACAAAGTTAGTAATGCTGCATAATGCATAATGTACTAATCTGGCAAGATTTCAATTATTGTGTATTCTTTTGCGACAAATTCTACGTAGTTTGCGATTTGGACGACTACCAATAACTATTACTCGAAAATATGCATTAGTTTAAATAATAGATTGAATTAAATAAGTTATTAGAAAACCGTCGAGGGTAGTAAATTATTTGTTTTATTTGTTGAAAAGAGATAAGAAAGTAAATAAGTATTGTTTGACATGTTTCTTTATATTGATTATGAAAATTCGGCATAAAAATTCGCGAACAAAGTGCATCGACATACCTCCTGACGTTGTTTCTAAAAATATCATCGAAATACTGTCGCGAATAAATACATTGCATACTCCATATTCACTAAATTGAGTAGATAAGTTTCTATTACTATTGAACTATTGATAACGAGAGATTTATTTCCTTGTATTTATTATATTAAAATAAAATTAGGATAAATGTATCTTTTATTCGTGATAATTTATAAACAAATGTATGCATGATCCATCTTAAAGATACTAAAAGCTCTCTTTGTAAATACTTGAGAGATCAACACTGATATCGGCGCTATATCTACATTTTATCATATACGTGCAACGAAAAAGCGACGCGTAATACCGCAGTATACATATATGCAGACGCTTCTTCCAGTACGTTTAGCGCGCGCACAAGGGAGCGCGATGAATCTCCGATTGAATAATTCGGAAAGATGGTAGTGACAGGGGCGACGCGGCGCGGTAGAATTCTCCCGCGCTCGCTCGTGATTGGTTGCTCCTCGGCGGCGCTGACGTCACCGGGCGAGCGCACGACGCGATGGGTTGAGGAACGCGCGACGCAAGCCGAACGACGCAACGAGCGCCAGACGCCGCCATTACTAGTTTCCGTTTCCTCGCGTGTCTTTCGAGCTCAACCGGCGACACCGGAGTTTCGTTTGTGTTTTCGCGTGAAACGCCGTGGGTGCGATCCGAACTTTCCGTGAATTTCCCGCCGATTCTTTAGTCTAACATCGCTCGTGTACCGATTCAAGGAACATCCGATCGCAGGTATGTACGCGCTTTCGCCGTACCGGGTGCGGTGCGGAAATCTTGCTTCTCACAGCCGTGCATTTACAGCCTTCGCTTCACGAGGGTGGGTATAACGAGCTGATTCGCTATCTCGAGGAATACGCAAATGCGCTTGTATAGGGAACCGTGGAAACGCGTTTCTCTTTTTGTGCGTAAATTGTTTATTCGCTAGCGGATCGCGCGTGCGAGATCTCGGCAAGATGGAGGAAGGAAAGCGTCGGGATCGAAACCGAACGATCGCGTCGCCTCTCCGATTCCCTTCCGATTAGATCTCGAGGGAAGGGACGCCGTCTCGACAGATTGCATCATCGAGCGAGCAACAGAGTATATCGCGCGCGAGAGTTACGTCAGTCGGAATATTTCGAAGAAAAAAAATATTTATTTTTTATAATTTCGGGTAACCTTGACAAGCGGAATACAATGCGACTAAATGGAGTTTGTTATGTAGTTCCGAAATCATGATTGCTATCTCGCTTTAGCGCAACGTTCAAGATGGCGTAATTGGGAGATCAATCTACCTTTAATAAATATATAAATAGGGATCACGCACTTTCGTATGTTTATATATCGAAATTCATATTTGCCGATGTTATACCGGCTTTGATGCTCTGTTCAGACGACGCAACACCATGCGGCGCGAGTAATTCGCCCGCAGAATCCATGGAATAAATATGGTGGGGATGAAATAAGATGGATTGGTATCGCGCGATATATCAGGAGCATATAATTGCGCAAATAAATAATTGAAAAATAACATATAATAGTCATAGGATGTATAGGTGAGCAGAAAAATATCGGATGTGAGACGACAAAATGATTCATTGACAAAGTGACTGTCTAATAAGTGAGAGAATCCTGGTATGGCCATCTGAGGTGCTCCGATATCTTTCCTTGCTCGTATGAAAGATTTTACAAGTTTCTGTAATTTATGATTTCTACATCTATTTGAATTATGGCCTAATTACAGTGGAAGGAGATTATCACTATTAGCTCTCTGGAATTTTAATATAATTTTTTATATCTTTTGTTAT